ATACGGCGACTGCCGAATGTGCAGACACACAGCAAAAACTCAAGTGTGTGGATTAAAAAACCGGACGTGTGCACAAGACAGTGTATCAGAATTAATACTACATGTTTTCAAAGATATTAATAAAATATAATTTGTACTTACTTAAATCATCTTCGTTGTAACCTTTTTCGTTTTTCAATAACTGACCTTTTAGTAGTTACTTGACCTAATCTCAGACGTGTTGTACTGTTGGAAATGTGCATAGATATTACTAATTGGTTAGTTAGTTTAGTTGAATATAATATTATTATAGGTATACATACTATTGGAACATTTAACAACAGTAGTTTTTAATTAGAACTTAGTAGATTGTATTATTTATTGTTATTTAATTACAACCTATTTAGAGTATTATAAACGCATACGTGTATCATGAATATTATTATTATTATTATTAATGTAGCCGATGATGACGGCTACAATAATTATTTAAATATTATACCGCATTTTCAATATTTAATAGTTAAAAATGATCGCAGCTAAAAATAATGTGTTTTTACAAATTGTCAAGTATTTCGATATAAAAATAAAAAATATTTTTTATAAAACTATTTAAAAATAATAATAAAGTTTTAGTAGGTGCCTATAATAAATTATTGTTTATAATAAGTTAATCGAAACGTAAAATGTAGTCGGCGATTGTATTTATTTCTATTTAATTTTAAGCCTCCTGTACGTTTTAATGCAATAAGAAGTATTAATATTCATTACCTATTGTAAATTAACATTTAGAAAAAAATGGGGTTATACCAACACGCGGCCGTGACTATACTCCGCGACTAAGAATTATAAAAGGTTCCTATTCATAAAAGGCCTGGGAAAGAAGAAAAAAACCCGATAATACATTGTTTCTTTCGAACAATGTGCGATGGTAAAAAATAGTCATGAAATATATTTTTTTTTAGTAAACATTAAATAAAATAATATTAATATGGGATATGTATTATGTATATGTGAATAACTTATTCATAGATAGTGATGGGTAAATTCCCTGTATTTAAAAGTGAGGGAATATTCCCTAGGAATATTTCGGGAATTTTTAATAAATTCCCAAATAATGGGAATTTTTAATAAATTCAAAATAATGGGAATTTTTACTATAAATTTGAAAATTCTAGTAGCCAAGTCAAAATTAAATGATACCCAATCCAAACACTGCCCAAATATAATTGTGGCCTGGTGTGGCTTGCTAATGACCTCAGATTTTGTAGCATTAACTTAATTAAAAATAAAATATAATTGTCCTTATATTTTTATGAATAATATTATGATAGTACCTACTTTTCTCAATGAAAATTGAAAAATAATGTCTTTTACCTTTGTAGTATCTTCTACACAAAAGTTGATAGGTATTGAAGAAAATATCTGTTAAGACATTTAGTTTAATTTTTTAGGAAAAACATTAAAAAAAGTAACAAATTTCCAATAAATTAACTATAACTAGTAGCTATATTTAATAATAATAATACAAAATAAAATAAATATGAAATACTCCATATATTTAACAAAAAACAATAACTGAAAAATATATTAAACATTATAAAAAACGTTGTTATGAATTATGTTATCTAGTGAACCTCTAACAGTGTGGACTAATAAAACGGAAAAAAAAAAATTCCCAAGTTTGGGAAGAAATATATGTTGTGGAAATATTCCCGATAAATTCCCAATTATATATTTCTTTCTTTTGGGAATATTCCCAAGGCACATCACTATTCATAGACCACGGCGTTTTGTTAAAGTATTTACCATTATTTAAGTTTGTAATATTCATATATTGACGACTGAGGTGGACTGGGAATATTAGTAAAAAGCGGGTAAGTGGATGTCGCTCTGCTGTACAGTAGGTTACAAGAGGGTCTTTGTAATGGATGGTATTAAATTTGAATCCAATGATATAATATCATTGTATAAGAAAAACGATTCTGGGCGGAGACGGTATAAGACATATTATATACTTATCTATGGTATTAAACAAAAAATTAACCTATATAATATAGGGTACCTATTGTATACGGAAAACGATTGTGTGCGAAGATGGTCTGTTCGCCTATAATATTACTATAGGTACTAGGTAGGTATATTTTATGATATTATTGTGATTAAAGTAATTCATTTTAGTATTAGGCATTAGTAGGTACCTACGACCTACCTATATCTACTACAGTAGGTTAAATTCATTTTTGCCAAAATAATTACATTTGAAAATGTCATTGTGTGTATAAAATATAATAATATTATATTCTAAAAGTTCCAAATATCCACGAATATTATTATTTTTTAGTTACAACAAAATAACTAAAATCGATATTTTTTGGTTTTAATATGACGTAATTACTTCCAAACTTGAATTTAAAATGTCTGTTAAAAATTACTGTGTTTATATATTTTTTAGATTTTTTGGTTACAGTATAAACTATTTATGAGAATCTTTGTTTTACATTTTCAATCCTTAGTTATAAAAATAAAACATTTTATAGTTTTTTAATTACTACAATGATTGATACATTTCGAGATTTTGATAAGTTTTGTCAAAATTCGAACTTTAAATGCTTAAATCAGAGTCTGCACTATGTGCGCATATTTGAAGTGAAACTCTTTACGCTGTAACAGATATTACAACTACAATGCTTTTAACTCACTGTGATGTAATAGTGTATCATGACAGGTCGAGTAAAATAATTTTGAATTTAATACTAATATAAAAAAATATTTACGTAATGCATATCAGTGTTATGATCTTAAAAGAAAACAGTATTGTTGAAAATAAAAAAAAAACTTCTCAAGTCTTATTTTAACCTAAGAATACCAACAAATCATAATAATAGGTTTTGGGTTTCAGGGGATCTATCCCCCCTAATTACGCCCCTGAGCACCACACAAAGTGGAGACCGTGAACTAAATAGCTATATATATATATATATATATATAAATATTTATATATATAAATATTTATAAAACTATATGTCTCTAAGCCAGTGGCGTCATTACTCATTTCAGTTTTTGAGAGGGAAGGAAGGGAGGGAAGACATTTTTGACCGGCTCGCATAATACAACTGAAAAAAACCGCTCGCTAACAATTACATTACAATTGAATTCTTATCTCAAAACGATTATAATACTATATCAACTGTAAGACTAATAACTTATAAGTAATAACTTATTAATTTCACCATGTGTATTAAATTACATAAAATGGTTTTATTATTAGAAATTTCAAAATAAGTTGACACTCGATACCCACCTGCATCACATAGCCACTGAACCGGAATAAAAGTACCTATAGACGATAGTTTACCAATAATTGCATATTATTTTATATATCAAGAAAATAAATACAATCTTGTCCACGAAATTTATTTAAAAAAATTATCTGGTCCACTTCAAACAATTTATTATTTTAATTTGTACTAGTGCGCGTTAGCAGCGTTTTGAAACTAGTATTAAGTTAAGTTACTGGAGGTCAGTGCTGCATATTAAAATGTTTAATTCTTAGAATTTGTATGAGTAAATAAAATAAAGGTAATTTAAAAGACAACTCAACCCACATGACTTTAAAGTACTGTCAACTAGCTCTTTTTAAAGTTTTAGTGGTCTATCTCTAATCTATAAGATATCGTGTAGATATACCTTGTCCGTAATTATTTTTTTATTAAGGGGATTCGATGCAGCGTATTTATTTCATGATTTAGACCTAAAAGCCTGACAAAAATACGACTACTTAGAATTATCAGATTTCAATTCTGTAAAAAGATTCGAGTTCATTGACAATTTTCCTAGGTTATTGTGGGAATCAATTTTCGATATTTTTTTTAGAATTCACGTTAAATCATATTTCGATTTCTCAATTTTTTGAAAATTGTTTGTGGTGTCTTTCTTTAAAAAGTTAAACAGTTATTCAAAAATCTACTCCCACAATAACCTAGAAAAAAGAACGATGAATTCAAATATGTTTACAGAACTAAAATCCGATCATTTTAAGTTATCGTATTTTTGTCAGGCTTTTAGGTCTCAATTGATTGAAATTAGTTTCTCGTTGGAACAAATATTTTATTATGTGACATGTGCATGCGGGTGCGAACCACTGATTCCGAACGTATCTACGCACACTAATGATCATTTACTTCGCACACAAACACACTACGAAACGACTTTAATACATAGAATTGCCTATACACGACCCCTTATTAAATCACCGGATCGAATCCCCTTAATATTATGTAATAACAAGCATGCCAGTTTAAAGTAAAATTAAAAATATTTTTTATTTTATTTTTGAAGTTCTTTTGAATTATTCAAAACCTGTTGCATGGTACTTCATTATTTTTATAATGTACGTTGAGTTGCGTCAATAGTATTTTTAGGAGTAGGTTTGCCTACAAAGATTGGTAGTTTGATACGTCATACATAATTATATAATAATATCATAATAATAGAATACAACTTAGGAATTTAGGACAAGTAGATAATAATTTTGCACAATCTAGATTAATTATTTTATAATGATAAAATATTACCAAGTACACACTGATTTATTTACCATTTTTAAAGTACGAGTATATTATTTAATTTTTTTAAAAATATTTGTTCACATAATATATTTTTATTTATATTTAACTGCCACAAGGTTCACATAATACTATAAAGTATAAAGTAATCTATAAAAATATGTACCTAGTATTAAAATTACTGTAAATACGTATATTTTTTGGTAAATTTATTGTTCGTCACAAGTGCAGGTTTATCAGAGAATGGTGATTTATAATTAAATACACTTCAGAGCCGTTTTATGGCGTTAGAAAAACTATTCATAGGTAAAGAACCATTAAAAAAAAATATATATTTGTATTATATGGAGCACGAGGCATATTATTTTTTGTGTGGGGGCCATGATGGGGCTTATAGGTAAATAGACGCCGCCTTAGAGTGCAGGCTCTCGTGGTCTCAGTATAATATTATATTCAACGGTAATAATAATTATTGTTGTAATTATGATTGTTGTTGTTGCGCTGAGGGTATTGCCTCCACCCATTATTCGGACGCCACCTCCACATGGACACTGGGTGATACCAGTAACCCTCGCCACGATGGTACATCCACCCGTAGTTTTCGCCAAATTGCCTGTCACCGGGAGATGGTCGTGACGGTCTTGGATACGACCGGTATCCATTACGGTATCCCTGTATGTCGTTACGAGCGCAAGACACTTGTTGCAAGACCAAAAGTACAAAAATTATCTGAAAACGGTATACAATAATATAATCATTATATTAAATTATTATAACGATGAAAACCTGTTGGATCCAGATATCCAGTATTCCAGACCACAGTGAGCCGGTTAAAAAAACATGCAGGAACAGACAACTCGCCGAAACCCTATTTGGATTCTGAGCCGAGCTATAAATGCATTGGTCTTACAATGTAGGTATCCATGTTTTATTTTTTTAAAGTAGAACATTTTGTATAGTATTTCCACCTCGAGAAAAGATTTTAGTGAAAAATTTGAATTAGTTTGAACGGGGGTTTCCATTTCCCGCCAAAACATAATTAATATATTATTTTAGATATTTTTTGAGTATGATTACCATACACGATATTCACCTCACGTCCTCCCTTCACCTCGTATAGTCTCTATGTCATACTAAGCAGTGTTACTTTATCACTGTATTTTCCCACGTATGACTGAATAATTTATTCACATTATTTATTAAAAAACTGCATTTAAAATTAAAATGCGTCCCAACTTAGTCACTGCTTCATTATTAACATGGACCACAAATGCATGAGTACACTTTATTTTTATTTTAATCAATTATTTTATATAAACTCACATTCAATATCTACATGGAATTAGAATTTGTTAAATTAAGTACAGATCAATGTATATTGTAAAATGTCAAGTTTGATGTTTGAATAAACAAACAACTCCACGAAATATTATTACTTTAACTAGGTAAGATAAATAATAAATGAATAAGAATACATATGAAAAAAAAATAGGAACTTTACTGGATTTATGTTTGTCAAAAAAATAACTTTTTCATTTAGTAAAACTTGTAATTTACATTAATAGGATACCAGCGCACTATTTTATCTCTCTGGCCCATGTGCAGACAAAACGAAGTTATGCAGAATCATTATGTTTTTGAGTAATTTTAGAGTAAAATCATCTATTACAAAAACGATAAACACTAATATTTTTGAGGGTAAACGGATCGATTTTTCCAATTATTGTCTCAAAACAATTTAAACATCATTTCAATTTACAAAAATGTATTTTTATTTTGAAAGTCTAGTACAAAGTCAAATAATAATATAATATTAAACAGATATGTTATACCCTCAAAAATGTTATCCATCCCCTATAGGCTATAATACTTGTAAATTGTAATAGATGATTTTACTATAATATTAATCATTTTTTTTTTAAATTCTTTTTTTCATAAATATTTAAAGTTTTAGTTAAAAGTATTTTAATAAAAATAATTAATTTAATATCGTCATATGATCAAAAATATATTTTTATTTCTATACTATATTAGTATTGGTTTTAATTTTATATCGTTCGTTTGTATAGACATAATATTATATTAGTAACACTCGATTATGTATACTGCTTGTAATATTTTTTTCGAAACTTTTATATTTTTATTATTTAAATACATAGAATATTATACTTACGGAAAAAATTATGATTCTTTTCATGTTGTATTTCAACAGCTATCTGGCGATAAAATAATAAAATGTATCTTACTGTGTAAACTGGGAAAAACAAACTGGAGTTTTCATGAAAATGTTTTGGTTTTTATACGTGTTAAAATGAGGATCATAAAAAAGTTAACCTTGGAAAACAGAAATAATCTAATTAAAATATACACCACCTACAAATCTGCATGCATTTTTTAGGTGTAATTTATATAATTATATAATTATTAATAAATTATAGTCTCTAATCTCTGTGTACAATATTTTTTGGAAACTCAAGACTTTATAAATGTGTTGTTTCAATTAGAAAAACCTGTGACAAATATACTTATGTCTGATTTAAATATAAATGTTAAGTAGGTATACAATTCTGGATATAATTACCAAACTTACCTTACCACGGCTAACTAAAATGCAATTTTGGATCATGGAAATTATTCACAGTGTTTTTTCCATAAATAATAAATGTCAATAAAATATATGTGCAATGATAAAATCATCGAGATAAAAACGAATATTATACCAATTATTATTTGTTTGATATTTAATATAGAAATAAAGGAATCATTTTAGGTAGGTATATGTACATTTTTAGAAATAGTAAATTATTTTAAACTGTGTATTATCATAGTATCATACAGCTTTAACTTATATTATATGTTGTTAGTGAACGCATCTTTAATAGGTAAGCATATTATGGAAGTAATAGTTATTATTCACAATTATCATTGTTATAATTAACATAAAAAAAAGTCTCAGAAAGACGTCATTACTACATTATAATATAATGCAGTAATAATGGTATATTATTTATGTTTATGATACACTTGTGATAATTATTTTAATATTTTTTTTTTATAAATAATTATGCAAGTAGGTATATTATGTATTTATGTATTATAATATTAGATTTAAAAATCTGATAAGTATACGGTACGTAAAAAAATTATGATGTATGAAAAAAAAAAGTAGAAATGTCACATTATTAATATGAAGAACGATTAGGCAGGCTGTGTGCACAACATACAAAGGTACTATTAAACATTGTAATAAATTATAGGTAATATTAATATTTAACGGTCGAATTTAAAATCTTTATAAAATAATTTGTGCTCTATAATAGTTGAAAAAATGTTGATATATTTTGATGTAGTTGTACGTTTATGTATACGCCTAAATATAATATTATGGTCTATTAGGTTTTAAATTGTGAGTAAGGACATTATTGTAAGTATTGCCAGCGGACATATTATTCTATAACCGTACCTACTATACCACTAATTGTAAGTTGATTTAAATGAGTATTATTGTAATTTTTTTTTTCAAATTTTTAACTATAACCATATTTTTTATTATTAATGTTGCTTCAATTTTGTATCATACAAGGTTATGTTTAACACATTCTTATATTTTAGTTTCCTGTTTTATACCGTACTCAATATCCTATAGTAGTTCTAATGAAGCAGGATAACATTATATCTTATAATCTTATCCAGGTTCAAATGTAAATATTATACACATATCTTAAATTAAATGAAACAGTAGGTATGCATATTTTATATGTTAACTGCTATTTCACAAATATTTTAATTAGTAAAAGTAACACGGTTAAAAATGATTACATATTGAGCTTTATAATAATATTCAGTTAGGTACCTACTTATATTGTTTGGGAATTTTGGATAATGCACTAACGACCAATAATGCATTAACAATAATAAAAATTATGTAAAATAATACATATAGGTACGTACCTACATAATGCACTATTATTAGTTATTTATTAGTTTATTTCAATTGTGCAAAATGCAGATCACCCAAAATATTTATATTGAATAAAATTGCATGGGTGTTTGTTAACGTATTTTATAGAACCATAATATGCCAAAACAGAAGTGAACATTTTGAAAACATAGGTAGGTATTCGAAATAATTATAAAAGTCATTATAAATTCTCAATTTTTTTTACACATATTTTATTTTTTAAGAGAATTTCTTTCAACATCTATAATATTAAAAATTGTAATTCAATAAAATCTTATACAACCTTATACACTAACACATATAAATATAATATATATATTATATTAAAACTCGTTATCACTCGTACGTCTAGTAACAACACATTATTGGTATTGATTTCGATTTATACATGTTCATATTATTTTGGACAACAATAATGTGATGATCGTTAGTTGTTATTGTATAACACAATAAATTTAATATTATTATATATTTTATTACATTCAAATTTACTTTCCTATTTTTTTTTTTTTATCATTAGTACTTAACAATGTTAAAAAAACATTTTACGCTTTGACTCAATTATAGAAAGCACCATTACTAAACCGTAAAAAATGCGTTTTTATAATAAAATGATTTTGATTTTTACACTCTAGCCAGATTTCATCGATTTCATTCAGAAATCTTAACCACAATAACGTACCTAACTCTGCTAACATTTATAACAAATAATAAATCCAATTTATATGTATAAAAAAAAACACAAGTATTTGAAACAAACTTACTATATAAGTACACTAATCGTTTATAATTCTGTTAATTAATTAGTAATCGATTAGCCTGCACGATTACTCTAATACGTTTTAAAACCATAAAGTATCTCGGCAGTAGGATCAAATGACGGTTTTTTTTAAACTTTTAAGAATCACTGACACCTCACTTAAAAACTTAACTTTAAATTAATTTACATTGTGCAAAAATATTTTCCGTGTATGGTGCTCACACATCACGTGGAATTTTCCATCACGAAGATTTTATATTTATTATTTTTTTTTTAAATTGTATTTACGACTAATGGCGCCTATGACTAGGTACATAAAGAATGGAGCGCGAGAACCTATATTGTAATGATTCAATAATGAGGTTCTAAAATTTAAAACTTTATAGAAAACCGTTTCGTAAACCTACATCTGTTGTTGAAATTTGGCAACGATAGTTCCTACCGAAAATATAATTCTATAATATATTATAGGTTTATGAACATAATAGGTGGGGGGGGAGTGGAAACGTTAGTCAGATACGCACGTAAACAATAAATTGACGTTTGAAGTATTTATAAAGTACCTATATATACACACAATACGCCAAATATCAATTAAGACGATACTAAACAAATTTTCGGTTAGTTCGGGGTGTCATGCATCGGATACTTTTTTTGAACATGACCTATCAATAACTACCTTTATGTTTTATTATTGGAGCTGTACTGACAATAGTCATAAAAGTGGTTTTATTGGACATTTTATAAACTGTAATATTTTTTAGCGTATAGCATTTAAAAAGTTGCCATTTTGTGTGAGATATTACTCAGATTACTTGTTGGTCTATACATTTTTAAAAGTTTTTCTAAACATTCGTTGCAGATTTTAATTTGTGTACTAATAATAATATTACATAATATAGTCATTATTATAGATCATAGAAATGAAAATAATTTCAAATATTATCGAAACGAAGAATAACAGTCAAAGTAAGATGTCAGACTTTTGGTTCTTTTCTTGTTTACAGTAATATAAGTTATTATAATATGATATAATACTCAATATTAAATACAATATATTATTATCATTTAGTGGTCACTGATTTCAATTATTAAAAATGAGAATTTATTTTAAATCAATCGTATTAAACTCTGAAGTTCAGCTCAGTGGTCCACGCGTTACACCCAACGTGTACAAAACTATTGCATAATATATATAGTTCCGTGGACCAATTACTGATATTAAAAAAAAGAAAAAAATCACATTTAAGCATTATTTTCTTGCAACTTAAATAATAATATTCACATTATACATTATGATATAGCGTAATATATGTGTCGAACAACACAAATTAATAATATTATCTTATCGTTAAAAATTATACAAATCGTATGTAATATAATATAATATAATATATATATATATACCTTAAATTTAAATTTAAATTTCCCTATCGAGTATACACCTTCGGTCGGGGGGGCGGATGTGCTCATATTATATTAGACTAAACGGTACAGCGTACTATAATGCCAGGGGATGTGAAAAGTTTTAATCCGACTTAATGGGCTACGCGTGATAAGACAACGTGAGATGAAATATATGTAGCTGGTGTATCGTATGACGTCTGTCCTATTCTCGCGCTCGTCTTATATTATATAATATAAGTAAGCGACGTGTAGGTTTCTATTTTCTAAAATAGCTTAACCGTGACCATTAGACCATAAAGATGCGATTGTGTAACTGGACATAAATCAATGGTGGACGGAAAAAGACGACAGTCGGTTGTTATTTGTTTATCTTTGATTTCGTCAACTGAGTTTGTTGTATATATATATATATGTACAAAAAAGAAAAACAAGAATTAATTAATTGTTAATCGTTTCAAATAACTTGAACATTTTAGTGGAATTACAAAATAAAATGGGATAACTTTTTCTTGCAATCTCGTGATAAAATGATTTAATTTGATTTATACAAGTAGAGTAAAATACGTCATAAATTTTACAAAAAGTTTGAAAAGTCGGGGAAAAAATGGAACAGTTTTAAAACACAATTTATTTTATAACGGGACGTACAATTAAAGGAAAACTATATTTGACGTATTTTGTTTTGTTTAAGACACTTATATTTTCCAGTTCTGGTATATCTATTTATGAGTGGTATTAAGTTAACGGTCAAATTCAATAATGATCAGCTTAACGACTATTATAATATACAAGAGCATCAATTGGGTTTTAAAGTCATCGAACCGGCAGCGATTTCGGTCAGAACTTTCCATCTCACCCTGTTTACCATACGGTATGTCGTTATAGTGGCCTTTGCACATAATATGAATACCATACAGTCTTGGTGACAATAATAATAATATATTATGCACATAAGATATGAGTAATTAGCATCCGTAAACGATGTTTATAATATCGGACATCATATAATATTATGGACTTTCTAGACCGTATCTACCGTAAGTCATGTATTGGTTTTTATAAAACGACTATATAAATATCTATATGGACTATATGGTTGTCATAATATAACGGAATATAATATTAGCAATTGTTATGCTCAAACAAAGTATTTAATGTAATGAAAAACGGACATTGAACTGCGAACTACCTACAATTATTATTTGTACACTTCATGTATTAATATTATGTGAATGATTTTGAAAAGGTCTCATATACTATATATTATATAGGTAGGTAGTTTCGATTCGGGATGCGCTCGCAAATGGATTTTATTATTTGCTGTGGTGATGGTGGTAAACATGGCTGAAAACACGAAGAACAGAAGAAAAAAAAAACGACATTGAGCGTTTGTAAGTAAGTAAGTAAGTAATTAATCAACTCGAACGGGAACGACGAAACGGACAGTGGTTGCAATTCGACGGGTCGTGGACAACGCCGATGGAGTTTTGTATATTTTGTTTCTATGAGGTATAAACATGGTATATTATAATATTGTGTGAGAAAACTCGACTCGCTCTTTCGATAAATTAAATTTGGATGGAATCGATTCGTGAGCGTCGGACACGCGAACAGATTTCCCCGACAGATTTCGTATAAGGACCCTGTCTCTTTGTATCTGTCAGGTGTGTGTGTGTGTGTGTGTAAACAATAATGAATCAAATGGTTTCGTTTAAAGGTAAAATTGAGCATGGAGTGTAGAAAAAAATTACAAAATATCGATTGAGATGGTATAATCAATACAATTATGTGGAGTGGACACGTTTTATATTTAATAAAATATTATATGGTTTTCGGGAGATCTGGTTGAGTTTACTATATTAATAATCATAATAATAATTGTATTCGATGCGAGTAAATGCACTTCAAGTTGAGAGAAGATTTAGACTACACAATGACTACGTATAGAGAGAGATTCGTGTAAAAGAGAAACAGAAAAAATACTCGAAAAACCAATAAACAAAACGACAGTGATGACAAATGATAAATAAACACAAAGACTAAACGAACTGCAAAATGGAAATATCGTTTGATGCGAAACGTAATTCCGAATAAGTACGCAAAAGTACGCGAGCTCGCTCGTCTTTTATAATAATAATAATATTGTTGTTGTTGTGTTCCGCGGTGACAACAACAATAATAATAATAATTAAAATAATAATATAATAATAATAATAATAATACGACGGCGGCGGCGGCGGCCACGGTCCGTGTGACTCGGCGTGACGAATTACTTGTCCTCGTCCACGCCCTCGCGGAACAGGTACGTGGACCAGTAGGACATGTTGAACATGGCGAACACCATCGGGAACAGTATACGGGATATGACGTCGATGCGTTTGGACCTGGTGGGGAACTTGGACATCCACGACTTCCAGCACGAGTTCTTCTCCATCGGCGGCGTCTGGTGGATGATCTGGCTCATCTTGTCCCGGGACATCATCAGCTCGGGGCGCATCAGCGGCTTCTGCGGAAATACACGGCGCGCGCGCACCGCGACGGTCGTTAAGCCGCGTCCACACTAGAGCACGCACAGACCGAGCATGTGTACTAGAGCACGCAAGAGCGATTTTGACGCACGGCGAACGCGAGCCGATCTAGTCGGCTCGCGTTCGTTGTGCGTCGTGAGCACACATGCTCGGTCTGTGCGTGCTCTAGTGTGGACGCGGCTTTACACGTCGTTATTACGACGACGACGGGCCTTCTGCACCCGTAGTTGTACGGGCGCAGAAACGGTTTGGAATTGTTTTTTATCTTTCTCCTCGCGGAGAACGAAAAAATTGAAAAAAAAAATTCCAAAAACCGAGTGACGTATACAGGCGGCGTTCCGGAGAAAATCGGAATATTGCCAAGAGCAAATCGTTAACTCGCTCGGATATCGATTTTCGGGATTTTTTCCAAATAAAATGGGAAACATACCTATTGGAATAGAAATTATTGTGGCCGGTATTAACGGATCCCCTGTATACGTCACTGTTTGTTACCGTATTCCGCTAGAATCGTATACATTTCCATTTTCCTGCGATATATAGGTTATAATAGGCTCATATAGTTGTCAACCAAACGGTATAAAAACAAAATGTCCATACTTCCAAAGTATACTGAAATATACTAACGGGCTTTGTTAAACTTCAAACAATTGGATGCGGATGCGTGACGATGAAAAAAAAAATGGTGAATTTAAATTATGCTTTTAAACGTTTAAATTTAAGTTACATAGAAGTGTAATAATAATATAATTCATGCTTATAAAATAATATCATTAAATTACCTATAACCTATCTATATCAATTGTCCATATGGGTAAAAAATAAATAAATTAACTCTATGACTTCAACTACAGTGCACTACAGGGCCTAAAATATATCTAATTTCAGGAGACACACTTATTAATTTAACTGTTGACTTTGGACTTGACAGATTTTTATAGCAAAAAAAAACCTGTGTTGGTTGTAACTCCCAAAATGTAACTCCTTCTTTTATGTACCACTTATTGCCTTACAGTTTACACATTAATAATATTTATATGATATTGGTATTCAAAATACATAAAATAAATACAAGTCTAAGTTAAAAATATTTTACTATAGTATTATGAAACAATGAAACATTGATAATGATTCTCAATTTATTTGAAATGAAGTTATAATAAAATTGTTATTATTACTTATTTCCGCAATTAAAACTAAAAACGTGTTATAAAACTTGGGACACACATTTGTCATTCAGGGGACACACTTTGATTTTCAGGGGACACATGTGTGTCAGGTTACACAGTATTTTAGGCCCTGGTGCACTATACTATACTTGTATAGTTATATACTTTTGTGACACGCACTTACTGAGTAAAAACTATTCAAATACCTGCAGAAATATGCACAAAATTGCATATTATGCAATATGCACCCAAATCCAATTGTTTGAAGAAAAATCTCTATAGGTACAAATTTTATAACACATATCATGTCTGCGTATAACATTTTTTTTAATGTATCAAACGATTTTTTTTGAATTGTGTAATGTATGACGTACTGAATAGGGAATCGGCCTTAATCTCGTTTAGCGGAAACGAGTGGCGCGCGGAAAAGGAAAATGTATGATTTTAGCGAAAACACGGGTTATGTCCACGTTCCAGTCGCGCACCCAGAAATTTTTTTTTGTCCAGAAAGTAATTTCATATTTACCTTGTTGAACTCTACACCGCGTAGACGTTAAAGAACATAATATTATATTGAAATGTCCGATTTAAATTCAATTTAAATAATAGAGCAACCGCGCATTGCTGCTATGCGTAAAATAAATATCTACGCAATTTCCCTATCAGTGAATTTTAAAATTAGTTATAATTAAATTTTTTTTTTTTTTTAATCGTTGGAAACCATCTAGACCTGAAAATAAATAGGAACTTGAAATTGTATGCTAATTTCTCGGACATTAAATACGCGAATTTCCTTTTGGGTGCGAAACCGTATACATATCATTATATTATTATATGATTTCAAAATACCGTATACATTAAATAATATATAATACGAATGCACATAAGAGTACGTATTCGTCATTGATACGGTTGATTTAAAAAAAAAAAATTTAAAAAAAAACATTCGGGCTAGTGCCAAGCTTTCGCATTAACCGTGTACGGACAGTTCCCGTGCGACATTCGCGCTCTCTGTCTCCGGATTCTCGTCGTAATGGAAAATATGGTAAAATATGATTATTCGGAAAATATTGCAGTCGGTTCGTACGTTATTTTTATTTTCTTCTTACAGAATCGTGTGCCAGTATATATACGCACATATCGAGTACGGACAAAATCGTTTTCAAAATAAAAAATTTCCTTGAAATTTACGACGTATCGAGAGGAGGCGGTGCCATGTCGCCCGAGAAACTGTTCACCTAAAGGATGCAGACCATGCGGATAATGCAAACATTGATTCCCAGCTTTTCATTTGAAAATAAATAATGAAAAATGCGTTTTTAAACAAATTAATAACAATATAATCAAATAACTAAAATCAAATTATACTTGAATAAAATTAAACGATTACAGGTACGACGAAATACTGCAGCATCGGTAAATGCATAAATAAACGTTTTTAAAATGTTAAGAGTTTATAAAATGTCGTGAGGAGGATTTGGATTCGGGAGCAAATAAATAATACAAAAAGAACCTAATAAGTGCACTACAATATGTTTCTAAACTCGAACTATAACAACCGACAGCTTATTATATTATTATTGTGTTAGGTATTATTGTATTTTAAGGGGTTTTTTTTTTTTAATCTCACTGATTGTTTCTATGTTTATCAATAGGTTGGCCCAATCAGCAAAGAAAAAAAACATTTAATGAAATGTTATTGTTGAAATCTTCCATTTAAACAATTTAATATGTGTTCCGTTGTATAGTGTTTGGTCTGTTCATATAATACAACAATAATATCAGAAAATCAGAAAATCAATACCATAATAATTTCAACCAACTAATACGAATTTTATCCACTTTGAAGGGGTAAATATTAAAATATACAATTAATGTATCGGCAAATATCTAATATTACCACATAAAGATCGTATAGTAGAGTAGAATGAAACAAAATATTTTTATTTTGCTTTGTCGCTGCAGTATAATATGTGTCTTTTAATCTTATGAAAATCACGGGGGGGTCCACATTATATCGTGTGGTGTAAAATAATTTTCTGGAACTGGCTGAACCGAATGGTTCAATTAAGGTATACCATATTATGGTATATCGTTATTTTATCACACGATACCAAGTAACCAAACGATTCTGCATATAGTTGAATATTTCAACTTTCGGCTGTGTGGAAAGAAGTTACATGGAGAAAAGTGATAACTAAAAAAAAATGATAAAATGTTATCATCAAGTACAATATTCACATCATTGGTATTGCATTTTGGTATACAGATAAAAAACACACGACACGAAGGCATACGATCATTAAAAACACGACACGACACGGTGTAAGTGTGAACTCCCCTTTACGAGGTTTGTAAAAATTATTGGTCATCTAGAATCAATGCACATAATATGTATGGATAATGATTTTTTTACCACTGGACATTCATTATTTAAAAAAAAAATATATTAACTTAAGTAAATTTTTATGAAATAAAAAATATTATATTTTATATTATTGAAATTCATATTTTTACAATACTGGATATTCACTCGATTTCTCGTGTAGCGGTTACGTTATTTTATTGTTATTCAGAAACTAATAACTGCAGATACATGAAAATTTCACTAAATTATTATTTTATCAATTCTTACTCACCATATTATAATAAAAATATTTTGACTCTTTTTGAGCTGTTTAAGGACATGAACAGTTTTAAAATTTTTGGTTTTTTTTTCTACAATTGTCAATAAAATATTATTTGTTGGGCAAAAAGTTTGAAAATTTAATACAAGGCTCCTGATATATTATTTTGACAAAATTTATCAAATTTAAAATTGAATAATTATTTTGTAGTTAAAAATGTATAAAATGTTCAACTTTTATATCGAAGGATTGAAAATTTAAAACAACGTAAGTAGTTAATTCTGTTACCAAAAAATCTAAAAAATACATGGACCCAGTTTATTTGTATAGTCATTTTAAGTTCAAATTTGGATGAAATCACGTATCAAAAAACCCTTGATTAACTATTATAGTTATTTTGTTGTGAGTGATAAAATTATACTTGAAACTTCTAAAATATACTATTATATATCTATGATAGTATCACGGTTTGTTGTTCATGTATCACGCGGTATAAGTACCTAATGGATATTGTGATATGATTAATTTGGAATTTATTATACCTAAGTTATTATAGGTCAATTTTTTTTTTAATACCATAGATAAGTACATATATAATATGTCTTATACTTAGACTGACATACCGTCTCCTCTCAGAATCGTTTTCTTATACAATGATATTTTATCATTGGATTCAAATTTAATACCATCCATTATACAGTGACCCACCTGTAACCTATACTGTAGATCAGAGCGACATCCACTTGTCCGTCTTTTTTATATTCAGTTTTAGATGAAAAAATCTAAAATAGATTTCGGTTTAAAATCTTAAGTTGATACCTACCGATTTCACCAATAATAAACAAACAAGGATATCGAAAAAGAATAAGTGTAATATAAAATATTAATAACTGCAGCGTATTTTTGCGAGTCTTGAATTTTTCACAACGAAATTTCGAGGAGAGTCAAAATATTTTTGAACGATATGCGTGTTTACTGTTAAAATAATCATTTTGTATATTATAAGCACCTTGGACAGGGGAAGAGATGAATAACTATTTACTTGCAGTGCTCACAGAAAAGACACGGTGTGTGTCGAACGAATACGGAATTTAAGTAGTAATCCAAATACTCGGGGGTTGTAGTGGCTTGTGGTGATTGTGGCGGTGAGATGATGGAGGGGGAGTGTTAGCAAATAAGGGGAGATTATTTAAGACTGAATTGCTGAATGCGTTTGTTAATCTTTCAGAGTTTGCCTGTGTGCGTGTGTGTGTGTGTGTGGGTGAGGGTGTTTGAATCTAAAGCCAACGAAAGTAACTGGTCCGTGGTACGATAAAACAATAACGAGTCGAAACAAAAATTAATAATAATAATTCGTTGGTTAAATATAATAATAATAATAATAATAATAATAATAATAATGTAATTATGTCGCTATTAAGTTGTAAAATATATAATATTATTATATGTGTATAAAAATAATACGAAACTTAAAAAAAAAAAATGGTAAGTAGGTACAAAATATAAAAAGAAACGAATTAAAAAGGTAAAACGATAAAAATGAAAAAGCTGGAAAGTAAATGAAGCGCTTCGAACGAACCGGGTTCTCCGCGCTCGGTCAATGCTCACCGTACTATTCGACCTCACCATATTGAACGAATTCGGGCCGTCCTCGTAGTCGCCGACGTCCATGGACACGGTGCGCTCCAGGTCGCACTTTTTGCTCATGTCGTCCCTGTGCGTGTCCGACCGGGACGCGTAGTTGACCAGCGCGAACTCGAGCAGGGCGCCGAACACGAACGTCAGGCACACGCCCGTCCACACGTCGATGGCCTTGGTGTAGGACACGGGCGGCAGGGACGCGTTGATGCCGGACGTCTGCGTGGCCATCGTCAGCAGCGTGGTCACTCCCAGCGACACGCGCGCCGGCACCGCGCTCTGGTCCAGCCAGAACGACACCCACGACACGATCACCAACATGCAGCACGGTATGTAGATCTGGATCAGGTAGTAACTGAACTCGCGCTTGAACAGCAGGTCCACTTTCAGGCAGCTGTACTCTCCTGCGACGCATTATACAATAATATATACCGTACTTTGCTCCAAATATATTTCTTTTTTAGTTTGAACCTATACTATATAGCTTCAATAACAAAGATACCTGTTCGCGTTGTTTTATATGTATAGATGTTAAGAGGTAAGAACAATTAAAAAAAAATCCGAATGTCGTACTAGTGACTTACTTACTTATTCCCAAAAGTTTGGAGCAAAGTTAAAATACATTGCAGGTTACATTGCACGATGTTAAAATTACCTTACTTTAATGCATTCTGGACCTTGGGTCGAAAAGGGCCAATCTCAATTTTAGTCACTTTGTAGTAATCAAGAATAAAGCCTCCTTTTTTTTTTTTTGAAAATTCATAGCAATTTTTTTTTTTATTGTTCATGTTTTTGTTTTTGTGATGGATGTAAATATAGTTTACCCTACATTTTAGAGTATGGTGTGAATTCATTAGTGAAATATAGAAGGTTTTCTATTGACATTGGCCCTACAAAAAAAAAAAAAAAATCATGACTTTGGCCCTTTTAGTGATCACTATAAGGGCCAGAGTCATGTTGTTTTTTTTTATAGGGCCAATGTTGTCATTTCCATATATTTTGTAATTTTCATGACATTGGCCCTCTCATATCTCGCACTAATGATTATTGAGATACGCCCCTTTACCACTAGAAAAAGCGTATTAAGTTTTATGAGATTGGCCATATAACTCATTTTCGCCAAAAAGTGAGATTGGCCCTTTTAGACCCAAGGTCCAGATATAATAACTATAGGTGCAATGTTTAGTGCTTGTGTTTTAACTTATTTGAACTTATACTTAATATTATAATTTAATAATACATTTTTTTTTTTTTTTTTTAGTTGATTAAGTCTTTTTTCAATACATTTTAAATTAAATTTCAATCCCCTAGATTTTGGATAACTTTTCCGTTATGTATTTTTGTGTTTTTGAAAACCATTTTTGTCATGATATACGTTGCAGCCGCCCTTCGCACATACGTCTTGGAGGAAAACTAATAGATTGATGTCCGTAATGTTTGAAAAAAATAGTAATGTTAATAAGAATAATATAAAAAAAACTACAATCTCTGATCTCAAAATCCTAATGTGCTACGATTGATATCAATTAATATTTTTTTTGGAGCAATGTTTAACCCCTGGAGTAAAGTATCCCGCTCTTACGATACACCGCATGTTCGCGCATGTACCGCCGCGGTCAACATAATAATATTATATTTGTTCGTGAACGGCGGTTATTGTTCAACGGTAATAATGGTATAATAAAGGTATACCTAACCTAAGTCCGACGCGTAAACGTGGGTGTGAGGATATGTGATAACCTGTCTTATGTTTCCGTAGTTTTTTTTAAGTACCCCGAGTACGGGGGCGCGATTTCAATGAAACAACAGGGGGTGTTGAACTGCTAAAGCCCTTATTTTAAGTCTCCAGTCTCATGCTCGAGGATTACGCACAATGAGCAAGACAGAGCAATCAACCCCCCCCCACATACCCATAACATTCACAATGGTCATATTTAATAATGCGGTTTTGTACTGTTTACATATTATTAATATTACCTAGGATATTTTTAAAACAAGAATTATTAATTCATTAGTTTTCAAATTCTTAAGATATGTTTTCAAAATTTATTTTATGTCGATCCATCTAATTCAATAATACTCTAACTAGTAGTTTCTCTGTTATTACAATTTTATGCTATAAGGCAGCGGTTCTTAACCTGTGGTCCGGGGCCCCTTGGCGGTCCGCGATCCTCGTGTCGGGGGTCCGCGGCAGCCTCAACACATAACATACATCAATAAGTGACAGAGTGCATTATTACAATATTATTGGATTATTATTATTTATTAAGTAGGTAATCAGTTTTTCTTGTTCATACGAAATGTACATGCGTACAGCACTGTAGTCTCGGCAGTCTTATATTTACTACCACTATAATTGCAGTTGATCGATCGTAGTATCGTACTCAATTATAGTTTTATATTACATTTTTGTAAAAAATTAATTGTAATAAAAATAATTGGAAATGTGTATGTTTTGTTGTCTACTAATGTAATTTTTAATATAAAATAATTATTATAATTTTGGTTATGATAACATGAGATGTTTGTAAAAAAATTAGTAAGAGGGTCCAAGATTTCTAAAAATCTTTCATCAGGGGTCCGCGATCTACAAAAGGTTAAGAACCGCTGCTATAAGGTATACAGTAGAAAATGGGAGCTCTCATTTGAAAAACAGAAGTTTGTAGTTTTGTTCACTCCATGGGCCACTCCTTATAAATAATATGAAAATCATCAAGAATTTGAAACTATATTTTTTTCAGTCTTATTTAATTAGTTGTATTTAAAAATTTTAAATCAGATTTTGAATAACTGTATCATTGAAGAAAAAGGGAATGAGCATGCTTGGTGAATCGCCCTGTATAATATTATGTAAGCGAGCGCCAAACCCAAAACCACGATAAAAACTTTTTTGATTGCGGTAGGTAGGTAGGTACCTAAAAAAATTCGTAGACTGCCAATTTATATTCGTAGTCTTATATTATATTTTTAGACCATGAATTTTTCTTATTTTTATCACCATAATGATGTAGCCGTAATTTATTGGCATGACCAAAGTTGAATTTGCATCGTCATTGGATTATTATATTTTTACATAGAATCTCGAGTTTCTGTAGGTATGCTATAGTAGGATTGATGAAACTTATCTGCAGTTAGGCTTAAAGGGTAACGCTGCAGGGAATTAATTCGTGTTTCTGAGTTCAAGTTTGTAGGAAATCCGAAAATACACATTTCATTAAATTGCTGTAATTAATTATTGTATTGTGCTGTTCAAGTTTTAATCAAATCCTAATATCTGAATTATGAATAAAACGAGTCCGTAAAGAGATGATGGTGTACGAGTTATCACATACGATGTTCCCATGTAACGAATATTTTATTCAAGAAAATTGCAATAATATTATTTAATATTTCCTAGTTTATTAGATATTGGATTATAATATTTAAGGGATGCTCGTAAAAATAATGTATTGTTTTTGACTGTTGTGATTCAGTGATTCAGTGATCATAAATATAACATTAACATTTATTTTTAAATGTTAAAATTGTATAATGCACAGTACACATAGCTATCCAATTTTAAAAATACTTAAAATTATTATTTTCTTGTCACAAAAAGGCAAAAGCGATCAACTTTTAAATCGCATGTTACGCGATGTACGTGAAATAAAATATTAAAATATGTAAATTTGGACGTGCAAAAATGTATGTATGACATAATATAGGTTCATAATAATAAAATAAAAAATCCCTTTTTCGTGGTTACGATACTTCTTACATGTAGCTATTGCGTAATGCGTGTATAAAAGTACAATAATATACATATTTTGTTTGTTTATAACACATGGTAGGTATGTAAATATATGAAGTCTTGTAAAAATTACGTTGATATCAAAATATTATAATATGATTAATATGTATTTTATTACCTATATTGTTGTCAATGTAAAATAAAGTGTGTAACTAACCTGTGTTAGTTTTGCTGTTACAGTAATCCGTGAGGAATTTTTCTAAAGTAAATCTGGGTAAGTGTAAATTTTTTACGACTTGCACTGGATCGCCTTCTTTCCATAAAAATACTAAGTCGTCAGTTGTCCAGCCGTCTAGGGAAAAATTTCAAAAGTGTGAATTATTTTACTATATTACATTAAATTATGATATTGACTTACAGCTGACCATTCGGAGTGAACACGTTTGACGATCCAGTGGATATAATTTGAGATTCATTGGACACGATAGAGTAAGAGATATTCTAAATAATAATAATAATAATAATAATAATAATAACGATAATGGCAATATCAAGCTGTAATTATTTTATACTTATTCAACCGATTAATAGTTATGCTAACCTTATACTGTACAACACTAATCCATTGGGGAATATCCTGATGTACACGTTCGGCATAATTATGTTGTGAAAATGACCTTCCTTCTCGTTAGAAAAGAACAAGTCGGGCATCCACACTCTGTTGGCTTCAGTCAAAGTTAAGTATTTCATTTTACCTATCCAAACAACAGAAAACATTAGTTTGTTTTTGAACCAGTCGTTGATATTGTTATAGTGCCAATTAAATTTGACACGTCAGCGTTGACTGCGCCTCTCGATTTTGTCTTAAGAATTTCACGAATGTTAACAATTATTGATAAATAGAGTTAACTAACTATTGTAACTTCCTGATTTCCCTGAACATATTTTTGGAGATTTTGGTTTGTTTTTTTTTTTTTAAACTATTGTATCGGCGGCGGACCGCCGAGTCTTCTCGAACTATATACTCTAGGCCCCAGCTATATACAACATCGCCCGAACGGCCGTCCTTCGAGATACAGATGTGGAATTAATGTAAAAAATAAAAATTGGGTCATTGTGTTCGAAACGGGAAAGCGTGAAAAATATACATTAATATACTATGTACGCATATATTATGCACAGGGTCCGGTTGTGAGTGGGGAGGGGTGGTGGGTGGTGGGTATAGGTACTTCACTGGCAAACTTGAATACGGACGTCGCGCGCCCAAGTTACGTCGGGCGGGGGTGGCTCCTCGAGTACGCTTTTAGTAAGCAAAGTGATTTCCATGTATTTACCGTTGTAATCGTTAAATTTTAGCCTCTCGTCCATCCATTGTTCGCGGAACGTCAGTTGCACACTGTACTCCTAACACACAAAACACACGTTTAGAAATTTATCACACGCGAGTATTATAACACGCACACATTTATATATATATATATGTATATAATCGTTTATAGATCATAACAATACATATTATATCATTATAATATTTAACGACAACGACGAAATACATTCGTGGCCGGGGGAATTCAGCTGCTGGGAGACGCTTGCGCTAGTCCGAAAACAATATATTATTATTATTATGACACTCGTTTGTGCACTGTGTGTGTGGGCACACCGACATTTGGGAACAAGAATTAGACACACACTTGCCGCACAGGGTTGGCGCCTAGTGCTCGAATCGTATTATAGTGACCGTGTTAGGTCATCACTTGCATTCACAATAAGTGGCGTCATGTTATAATGCGCCTCTGAAAAACGGTAAGATCAGCCGTTAAGGTTATATTGAAATGACCGCCAACAAATATTATTCGAAATTACATTACGATCTATAAAATAATACATTTTTTTTTATGCTTCAACTGGTCCCCGAGTGTTTTTTGACCTTGTACGACAAGTATTTTGAGAATTGAGTATTGGACCACGCCGTAGACCACCTCATATATTAATTTACAAATACAACGACAGATACAGTGTTGGAAGAGTCGCTTTGAACAAAAAAAAAAAAAACAATTAATATTGTTCATAACAAGTCTTAAAAAAAAAACAAAAACTACGTTAACTACTCGTTAACAAGATTATCCCGAGGGGTATACAAAATAAGTCGACTTATGTGTTTTTTGAGTTTTATACCTCAAATATAACTTATAAATTCTTCGAGTGGCAAAAAAAAACTTCGAGTTACTGCGACTCCATTCTAGTTACTCTTTTAAAATATTTTATTAAAATGTAAAACTTATAAAGCGCAAATTCACAAAGAACCCTTAAGTTCTTCAAAACAGTGATTTCATTCCCGTTCTCTCCAACACTGCGTCGATATCGTTGTTCAGCCACTACACACACACAATATATTATGTATAATGTGCGTACAGAGTGTCTCGCTGTGTTTGTCCTTGTACGTATCCACCCGGCTATAGTATTCTTCTATTAGCCTCCTGTCGAACTCGAAGACCTGTATAATACAGCTATTAAACACTTAACGACAATTATTATAAAATTAAAAAGTGGAACTTTTTTTCGGATATTTTTACACAATCAAATAGGTACATGCTCGACGAATTGGCTTCTATTGTATAGATTCTTAGGAAACGCAAACATACCTATATTTCCCTACACGTTAGTATATTATATAGTGATGATGAGAAAAACGGTTGCGTCGACGGGTACAATAATTGTACAAATACGTATGGGCGCGAGACACCCTGCATTATAATAATAATAATAATATGCACAGTCTGAATAATATAATATTTTACGGATCTACTGAGTGATTCTTTAACCAAACAACACTCATTATTTCAAAAAGTGTACATTTTTTTGAAAATATTTTTTTACATAGTTTCAAGTCGCTTATAAAACAACGTTTTTATAAAAAAATTATATTTTTAAATATTTTTTATCCTTATAATTTTTTATGTTTTTTACTTTTTTAAATGACATCATAGGGTTTTAATTTTATATTCTAAAGTAGAATATTTTTCTTAGTATTTTGATACATTAAAATCGAATTTGAGGCGAGTAGTTTACGAGTTATAAGTATTTAAAGTTTAGACGAGTGGAGTGGAGTGGTTCAAGTTACCCCGCGAAATGTTTGTCCACTTCACCGCTCATCAAACTTTGAATATTTATAACTCATGAACTACTCAACCCAAATTCGATTTTCATGTATCAAAATACTAAGAAAAATATTCTGCTTTGGAATATAAAATTAAATCTCTATGTTGTTATTCAAAAAAGTAAAAAACTTAAAAAATTATAAGGATAAAAAATATTTAAAAATATAATTTTTTAATAAAAACGTTGTTCTATAAGCGACTTGAAACTATGTAAAAAAATATTTTCAAAAAAATTTACTTTTTTTTGAAATAATGAGTGTTGTTTGATAAAAGAATCACCCAGTATACTTGCTGTCTCCTATCACACTCCCCCGGCCGCAAAAGGAAACGTGAGCCAGTGATCGGTGTCCTACAGAGCACGTGACGTGTTATAGGACACTCCTAGGTCACCGGGCGCGATCACCGGGCGAATCCAAAAAAAGCGTCCGTGTCCGCAGCGATTCGCCCGGAATCCGCGCGTTTCAAGTAACAATCACATTGTATTATATTATATTTTCAAATAAAACAAATAACGCACAATCAATACAACAATAAAGTGACATGCGTGTGTAGGTGTATGTGTGTGTGTGTGTGTGTGTGTGTACACCAAGACCAAAAATGCAATAAATTGACCTCCGGCCGTGTGTGTACGACCGTCCGTATCGTCGCAACGACAAAATGCAGGTGGAAACGAGCGGTTATAATTTTTTTTTTTTTTCAACTGTGTGACGCGTGTGAGGTGGAGGACACTACGATATAATAATATACGGAAGCGTAACAACAACGACTTTATTTATACGTACGTGCAAGCATGTAGCGGATCGTATAATATAATATTTTATTTTCAAAAATAAAGCATGCAAAATAAAACGAGTTATCGAACAAAATCGTCATAGATACACATCTGAGGCACAGAAAGTTACAGATTAAAAAACAGTGAGGCAGGTGACAGTCATAATGTATAATAATAATAACAATAATAATAATAATAATCAAAATAAACGCATTTCAAAAAAAAAGAAAACCAACAAAAGCATTTTTAATCTTTTTTTTCTCATGAATTATTAACATCCGACATAGTCAAAGGTTACGGGAATTTCGTTTTGTTTTGCTTTGTTTTTTTTTTTTGATTATTCACCACAAAACCCAACAAATTTCCTAAAAGCACTGAATGTTTTTCCGCACACGTAGAATTATTCCCCGTTATTTTGGTTATTTTCTCATTTTTCTCATTGCAAGAGAGTACGTTCGATCGTTTGGCGTTTGGCATTCCTACTAATGTTGTATTCGTTTTGGAAGTATGTAATGTTAATACGGTATGAATGGTGTGTCAGTGAGGTGAACAATGATAATTATTATAATGTACAGGGTCTTGTCACTTAGGTACTATTAATTCCAATTTCCAATAAACTTTTAGAACGAGTTAGATGAGGACATTTAAATAATGCTGCAATACCTATGCAATAGATAACTTAATTCAGTGTTTTGTTATTATTATTTCCCTTCTCAATGTTATATGCCGTAGTAACTGTACTATAATATTATCTTTTATTCTTCCCAGAAAAGTTATATAACGTTTATTTAATACATTTTTGAAATATAAAACTTTTTGAAACAAATACCGCTTTAAAAGTGCCCTAATAAATTAAATGAAAAAAGTGCACACAAATTGTTTAATTGTTTATTTCTACAACAATAGTTTTGAAGTTTATGGATTTGTATAAAAGTATAAAAGTAAAATAACTTAGCATGATATTATATTATGTATTATATAATATATAGGTATTTATATATATATATAATATATATATATATATATATATGTATATCATGTTAATACAATATACACTATATTGAGTTAATTCAATATATTATATATATTTATATAAATTTGTATATATATTACTATGTGTTGATGTATGATTGTATGTATTTATATACAAGACACAAAATGCCTAAATACACACACCATTTCAATGCATTATTTAACAAAAAATAAAAATAAATAACAAAAACAAGTTATGAGTTCAGAATAATCAATATTTAAAATGAAAAAAAAAATACTTGTAGAATTTGATTTAAAAAAACACATCTTGTCCAACAGAAAATAATAAATGTGTAAAGAAAACTATCGTTTTGAATTATGTGTCGGGTACTGTATGTATAATAATATATAAATAGTGAAATGATTAATCGGATTTCAATTGATTATTGTGCGTCAGACGAGCAGACCTCAGGACTTAGTTGGATTATGATTACGTGATCCTGTTGGTCAAGACATATGCCTACGGCCACGAAAACAAAAACATAAAATCCGCAAATAAATTGGGCGCAATCTCACAACAGAAAACCAAATAATAATATTTCATAAAAACAAAATAAATCCAATAAAAATTATTTAAGGCCATCACCCGACTCACCATTTTGTAATCATCAATTCTGCTGATGGACCGTACCAACATGTTGACATACACAATGCAGGGAGAGTCGCCTGCGGGATACAATAAAGACCGACAAAATATAGTCAGCGGTTAGAAAAAACAAGTCAGCATACTACATATTACATTATTTCAAGAGAAAATAATATTCAAATAAAAAAATCAAAAAAAAAAAATCAAGAGTAACCTAAAAATAACATCGCGGGAAGTACTATGTATAACTTTTTTAAGAAAAAATTCTAGCGCTATTCGTTAGGCCATTCACTATAATATTATAACATTATCCTTTACGGATTTGAATTGTATACAGGGTGTGCGATGGACATCAGATGCATACATTACTCATGGGAAATTGTTTGCGTATAAATTAAAGTAAGTGACCCTGATGTTAAAATTATTGGTATTTGGACTATTTGCAGGTGGTTATTATTCAACGCATTATGGATGATTCTTACGTGTGTGTATAATTATTATGACTATTAATTACTTAAAATTAAACATATTATAGTAAAGTGTGAGGTCTGTAATTATTTCCTCATTATTAGTCCAAGTCATTATGTAACGGTATACCTACTACTAAAACGATGGAACTATTTATAACATGTTCGGTTTTGTTTATGCAGGGAAATATAAAACTATTATTTTGTCATTAATTTTGTACTGTTATGAGTTTTTCCAGGATATAGCTGTAATTTAGTATAGGTATTAAAATAATTAAAGGTGGTTTTTAGTGGAAATAGAGGAAACTTGGAAAGTTTTTTTGTTGAGTTCACGAGGACTGCGTGACAAATTGCTTTTGATTGTGAACTAAATAAGTTTATAAAATAAATAGTTCCTAATAATTTTTTTCAATTGTACCATTCAGTGCAGTTATTAAATTTAAAAGATCATAAGATGTCGTTTACATTGAAATAGAAAGTTAAATTTGTTTTGTTGGGATTTAAGGATTTAACATTATAATTAAAGCAAAGCGGAAATAGAAGCGAAATGAATTCGTACAAACACAATTGTATTTATATTAAGAAAATATTGTGAAATCAATAAAACACGAAGATTTTAAGTATTGTTTTCCAATTACCAGATTTTAATTTCAGCTACACAGTGTTTCGAGGATATTTGAAGTTCATAATCGAATTTTATTTTCAGATTTGTATATTATAATTGTTAGCTTTGTATAATAACTATCGGAAATATAAAGGAAAATAAGAAAAAATGCACGCGACTATTTTATTAAACTTTTGAGGCACACGGTAAGTTAAAATACTCGGATAAATAATTGCAATAAGGTGAACTTCATATTTTATCCGTTTGATAAACTAAAATACGTTTAAAATCAATCAGATATGTTTTGGATCAAATAAAATTATTGTTTAAATCGCTCCTCGTGAATGAAAAGTAAATATTTAGGTATACATCGTAACAAATGAAGTGGAAAGTGTCCCCTAAAATTAATAACTGAACAAAAGTGTCACTGGATTGAAGGAGGGCATCATTGAACACCGATAATGGTGGAGTATAAAAAAAAAATGTAATAAAGTATTTTTTTGACATAATTCATCATTTTAAAGATGATGTTTTATTAAATTACTCGACAACTGAAGAAGACGCTTATATTATAGTTTGAATGGAAATAAGTGAGTTGAAAGTTTAATGAACCATTTTAGATTTTAAGAATGTTTTACAGAGGAATTAGTACTGATTTATTCTATAAAAGATTAAAATCACGCATAATATAAATCAATCATATTTATTTTGATAGGATGCCAGCGGATGGTAATAAACGTGTTACCTACTATAAAGGATGAACGTATAAATACATATTTTAAGGTTTAGTATATTTATTTGTAATACAACTTATTAGTATTTTATACATTTCTAATTGATTATATAAAGTGATGAAAAATGGTCTGAAATTTATGGTTAGTATTAACTATTAAGTAATTTCAAAAAGCCGCAAGAATATGTGTAATTATTTTTTTTTCTGTTAGATTGGTGCATGTTATACATACTTTTGTCTACGTGTGATCAAATTAATGTATTAAATTTCTTAAGACAACTGAAGGTTGTTTTATTTCAAATAAAATATATACTTAGGATATTTCGACGACAAGTCTCACTGGAACATGATTAAAACAATTATTTTAAATGAGAATAAGATTTTTTTTTTAAATCCGTCTTCACGTCTTACGACGATTGCAGGCGTTTAAAAAACTTTAAACTCAGCCACAATGTTGAATCTATTACAATATTATATACATATTAAATGCAGCGACCACGGCATATGTTATTGTATTGTTATTGTATTATATGTTTTTCGATCTAATACACGTTACAGCGCTATAATATAACTCTAGATATATAATATATATATATATATATATATATATATATGCATTGAATAAGAGTATAAATAATATAATAATATTATAAATATTATAATTTTATATTATGACGTATACTGTCAAACTTAAATCAGCTCATAATAAAGTATACTTTAATAATATTATAATTTATATTGCTTACATTAGCGTTACTAATACGAATATTCTATAGCGCCTATCTAAAATCGACCCGTTATAGGTATACCTTGCAAGATTATCATTATATTATAGATATATAATATACAATACGGCGGTAATTATAAAATAATTATAATAATATTAAGTGATTTCTGTCAATTAAGTCAACAAGCGTACAATTTAGTCCAGCAATAATTCTATTGTTATATTATCATTAATTTATTCTAAGTGTATATGTATAGGTATAGTCATATTATGTTACGCACCCCGGAAAAAGCTCTTTGTCAATTTTTTAGTGTGAAAACCGAGTGTTTTTTATGCGTTTTACGGGGTAGGTTTTCATTTTTTCGTTCTTAAGATATTATATAATATAACAGGTTTTATTATTTATTTTATACACAATCATTCCATGTAATGTACAAAAATAAAAAAAACTGCTATGAATGCAAAATAAAACGTTCATCAAGAGCGGGTGAAAGATTCAGGAAACATAATATTGTTATAGTATATAATATAATATAGCGGACGGGACCATCTACAAATATGTTATTGATAACGTTTACGTTATCAATAAAATGTAGAATAAATTTTTCTCTAAGTATAAATATATAAAACAACAAAAAATTGCGTTTGTTTTCGCTCAAAATACCAGCATCCAACCTAGACAAGATGACTTACCATCTTGTTGTCACTTATTGTCATGATACTTCTCACAAATAGGTTTATGTGCACGATTGTTGGGCCATCTAGGGAGTTATAAAATATTTTAAATATATTTGTATAATATATTATTTGTTAATTGTTATCGTTCAAAGTACAATAAATTTGCTAATTTCTGCAAACATGACGGTTCATATGATATTATTACCCTAAGACGTATTGTTACATAATTGTATTATTATTTATCTTGTAAAACATTGCACGCATTAAGCACATCTCAACGATTATTGAATTATTAAAGAAGAATGCACCATTATTAATATTCATCGAGCGTAGCGAAGAGAGCGTTGAAAAGTTTTGAGCAAAAATCCTAATTTAAACACATATACATTTAAAACATTTTTATGTTCCTACCAGGAACTAAGGAAGAATATAAATATATAATATATACTAAAAACATATTATCTTCTTTAAAAAAGTTTAACCCCTTTTATGTTAAAATGTTCTATATGAAAAACGCATTTCTTTGTTAAATAATTAGTATTAAAAAGATATACATTAATATTCGGAAAAATAATTTTATACATTTCCATAAAGTAATAAAATAGTTTTTGCTATTTTTAAATATTTAAATATTATGGAATTGAAAATATATTGAACGGATTTGTAATACCTACTGTTTATTATAGATTCCCAGTATAAATTAAATTTAAATGAAAAAACTATTGTTTTTGTAATAATTTTGATAATATGAAATATTAAATATTAAAATAGATTAAACGGATTTTTGCTCAAGTGTATATATTTAAAAAAAAATGTGTAATGAATGTAAAACCGTAATTCTCAAGCATACCTTGAAAATAAAAAACGAACTTATTAATAGATTGCTGTTTAAATGAAAAAACAAATAAAATATCAAGTGCTAATTGTAAGAACATGTAACCCTGCAATAGGCAATCAAATATATAAAAGAGTTGTATGTAGTGCGGATAATAGTGCATAAAATATTGTTAAACCGTAATAAATGGTTAAAAGATAATAATTGTGACATATTTCTTTGATAGAAACAATTGAAAATTGAGTGAACCAATGTGCTTAACCGATTTGACTTACCATTTCTTTGTCACTAATTCTCTCGACGTTTCGTAGCATTAAATCTATTTTAACAATAACCGGGCCATCTAGGAATTATTATTAAGAGTACTGATTTTATATGTTTGTTACCAAATATTATTATTTCGATACAATTAAATAAACGAAATATTATTAGTATTGACTTTTGTTGGTTGTTACAACTATAGCTGAAGGCCCCCACAGACAAAGTAAAAATGAGTGGCCACTTGAAAGTTAAAAGTTAAATCCTGCTCCTATATATGCAGGCATCATAATATAACACAAAAGGGGATTTGGCACTATGCACAAGTACTCATAGAATTTTTCAGTTTGGCGAAAAGCCTAAAGTACTTCGAGTATTTAAACAAAAAATAAAACTTTGAAGGGAAAATTAAAAAAAAAAAGTAATAATGAAGAAAAAATAAGGTGTCGCTTTTATGATGAACCCACAAGATTAAATCGATTCCTTCCTCCCCTTTAATGTTGTACAAATATTGTTGAGATCGTGAGATTGTTTAATATAAAATCATTTCCACGTAGTTGTAATAATGTTAATTTAATAAAACATACATAAAAAAAATAAAAAATAAATGAACATAATGAATTGTTTTGGTCGTGAGCATGTAACAATTTTTCATTTTTATACAAAACAACATAATTTTGAATCGTATTTTACCTGTGCCATTAACTCCTGATGGACGGATCCTAGCATCGTAGCTTCCTGGACCTAAAATTTGATCAAGAACTTCTTTTTCTTTGTGCCTATAGTTGACTTTTGGTACGCATCTGTGTTGAGAATTTCCTTTATGATTACTACACCCATCATCGTCAATTCGAGTGCTGTAATAAACGAGAATCTTTATTACAAAATAATAAACATTTATTGTATACACTATTACTGGATAAATTTAATCCAAGATTATTTTATCCGTGAAAATGTTATTTAAAAACGTTTTCATTAAAGATTACAGTATGGGTTATAATAACTATATAGTATATTTACATTTAACGTCTGTTTTATTTCACAATTTGTAAAATTTAAGTATAGTTATACATTTATCATACAGATAAATCATAAATAAATCCCTCAATTTATTATGGAATAAAATATTTTGTATTGTTTTTTATTATTTTGATGATAATTAGTAGCATTCAATAAATACTAAATTTTAAACTTAATTGAAGAAGGATTCATAAAATCATTGATTACTGTTATGATTAAATTTGCTTATAGACAAAAGTTTCTTACCAACAATATTGAGCAAAGTGGGCAAACAAAAATACCATCAAGAACGACGGCCACTCCTTGAAACTAGCCATTCTCTGCAGTAACCCTAAAACAAAAACGAGCAACGAAATTATTCTCAAATTGCTTGGTGTGTAAGTTTAGCATACATATAGGCACAGATAATAATAGGTAACTGATCACATTTCTCGTGAGTTGTATGAGAAATGTGTCGATTTTCCGCGTACAAGTTTTGATTAATCAGTAATCACTATTGGCAGGTATATAGGCACTAACCTATACAGGCTATACTTAAATATATAAATATAATAATACTTAAATATAATAATATAATGGGATGGCTCTGCCCGTCCTATTCTAATGCATTATAATATATTAAATTATTCAAGCGGTTCGTAAATCACGGTTATTTACCTAAATATGCGTACAAGGTTTCGGTCTGGTTGTGTGCTTATAATTTCTATATACTATTATTATGTTCAAACGGCACAATGACTATTATAATATAATAATTGTTGTACTGGTCGGGACAACTACACGGAATCTCGAAGGGTTTGATATTATGGCATTTACAATAGTACAATATAGGCACTGTGTTGTACGACTGTTGTGCACTCGTACGGAGGGATTAGTATTATGTTATCGCGTTGATTATATTATTATCTGAAGACATGTAACGATATTGAATACAATTATTATCATGGTTATTGTGCATATAAGCATGTGGCACAGCAGAGCAGTATTAGTAAGTTATTACACGCGTGCTGCACCGTATTTCGTGCCGCATTGTCTGTTTTACACAGATTACGTCGGTTTTATGTTGTGATATTTTTAAAAATTTCGAATTAAACTGATTTCTATGTATTTTATAGTGGACGGCTAAAATTACAGGAATATGTAATACGCACTTGCATCAACGCGGGGGATGTGCATAATATTATGTAAAACTATAGACGATGCTCAATGCTATTGTTTTATTTTATGAAGTACCCAATAGTGTCGTATAGCAAAACGACAATAATACACGATATAAAGTGTTTTCGAATCAAGTCGTGCTTAATAATGGTAAAAAGAAAAAAAATCGAATCCAAAATAAAAAAGAAAAGTTTGTGCCGCAACACATTCGCGGGCCGTTTGAAAAGGGCGAACAACGACAACATTGTACAGTGGTTACGGACGCGTTGGCATTTCGCAGCAGAGCCGACTCCTCAAAGGAGGATAGACCGAAACCTAAGTTGACCCAGTTTGCCGGCGACGTGTGCCCCAGTCGGACCACTGCAGCAAGCGACTAGGAAATTGGTGCGAAAAAGAAAAAAATTAGTGATACAGATATTATTGTTTGACACGTAACTATATACAATGCTCAATGCCATTGTTTTATTTTATTAAGTACCTAATAGTGTCGTATAGCAAAAAGACAATAATACACGATATAAAGTGTTTTCGAATCAAGTCGTGCTTTAATAATGGTAAAAAGAAAAAAAATCGAACCCAAAATAAAAAAGAAAAGTTTGTGCCGCAACACATTCGCGGGGCCGTTTGAAAAGGGCGAACGACATCATTGTACAGTGGTTACGGACGCTTTGGCATTTCGCAGCAGAGCCGACCCCGCAAAGGAGGATAGACCGAAACCTAGTTGACCCAGTTTGCCGGCGACATGTGCACCAGTCGGACCACTGCAGCAAGCGACTAGGAAATTGGTGCGAAAAAGAAAAAAATTAGTGATACAGATATTATTGTTTGACACGTAATACAAGCATCGACGGTCGCAAAGTTCGCAAACTCTATAATGACGTTGACGGCGTGTTTTTGATAATATAATATTTTTCCCCTATTGTTGTAATGTTAAACTGAATCAAGGACGACATCAGTCCCGCAGTCGAAAAAACGAATTTACACGTGTTTCCTCTCGTCTGTAAATATCAAGATGGGCAGTGGCGGCGTGATAGGGTGTTTCATGAGGCAATTGCCTCACGACCAATTAGGTGGTGGTACGGATATTAAAAACCACATATGAAATATGGTCAAGGAGACGGAGTGGCCGAGTGGTCTAAGGCGTCGGTCGCGACGCAGCCGGTACCAGCTCGATTCCTTGGTCGCGGGCGGCAATTTTCTTTGGGCAAGTCACGGAGAATAAGTGCCGCCATCTCCCACCCGGGCATGGCAAATACATACGGGTGCCCCAAATAAAAAATTCTGCCAAAACAAACCCACACGTGTAATAAATCTATACAATACCCTCCCCTACAGTACCACAGGCTAATGACCTAAGTTGTCGAAGCCTTAACCTTAATAAAAAAAAATAAATAAATAAATAAATAAATATGGCCAACTAATGTCTAATACTATTAATTATAATAATTTTATTATAATTCTGATATTAACACAACAAAGTATATTATCGTTGTAGAATTGTGAATTGGTCTGTGTGATAAAATTTAGGTGGTGATGGTCGAGCATTTATACTTGCCTCATAAAATAAAATAGTTCACGCCGCCACTGAAGATGGAATATTAGTTATTGGTCCCCGGGAGTTATATTAGCCGTAGATATAGTGCGTTTGGTTCCCGGAGTACGACGTCGAGATACACAGCAGGACGTTCGCTCCCACGATTTTTTAACGTGTCTTTATAATTATTATACGAGATATAAAATGAAACGTGCTTACGACAATTTTTTTGATCAAATAAATGGGTACGAGTGTTGACAAAAACTTGTGCCATGGATAGTACTCACTGCGCTATACTATTATTATTATTCTGATTACTAAGTATATAACTGCTCGGTGTACTGTTCCGAAATGAAAACAATAATAGTTAGCCTAACTTTACCACAAAATATTGACCGACATTGGAATTAATTGATGTAATGTTTTTAAATACCAGGGGACCAAATATCCCAGTTTCCCTTTAGATATAATAATATATACGTATATAATTATTGTCCATGCATTTTCCGCGAGCATGAAACGTCTGTTTATAACTATTTGACACTTGTTATGACACGACTCTTGATTGTACTGTTCGAGTAATACACGCGTGGTCGAAATTCGTCCTCTGCAGAATAATTTCCGGAATTCGAGTGTTGGATTTCAAGCTACTCGAAAATTTGGGCCGGTGGCTGCGTGTGGTTTATTAGCGATACACTTGGGTATAGTATGACGTATAATAGTATTATATTTGTGCACATGAGCCTCCGGAATTCGCGATGTTTTGATGAAATTACCATGTCCGCATACACGGAAATCTAATTCGAAAACCTATTCAAAATGCACTCTGAGGGTTACCAGTTTTCGGAAAAGCAGAGGACGGCGATGGCGGCGCGAAGACGCAAAGTCTCCTACTTTAGCGACCGCGCAACAATCGATTTTATCGAGTGGGGGATGGGGAGCTTTGTCTGCACGTCACATAATATAATATTATCATTACTATATAGGTAATCGGATTCTAAGGGATTCTCGGGTGACTCGCCCACCTGTATATTTATACTCTATATATACCTACTGTGCGACGACGATAATATTAATTAATAATACGAATTTACGTGTATATAATATTATACCATTATACGCGATAACCGCACTCCAGATATAAATAAATATATATATATTTAGGTATATTATAATATATATATATACTCGGTCGGAGGGTCCAAGAGTATAATTATTTTCATTCTCCCTGTCACTCGATGTACAGAAAAAAAAAACTACCAGTGTTTTCCAGGGTTTTTGTTTTTTATTAATTATTATCGTTTGACCAAACGGACGTTGCGCGCTGCGCCATTCTGCACCCCGGCGGACCGAGAGCCAAACTAATGGCCTCGTGTGTTGTTATTATATTATTATATACATAAATATGAGGGCATGTTATGCTTATGATTATATTATTATTTTCCACGCGATCCATATAATTATTCAACTTTTAAACGCGTCACCCGGTTTAATCTTTTCGGCCGTTCGCCGTAATTCCGCAACGGATAATCTAGATTTCATTTCACGTTCGAACAAAATATAAATATCACAAGGAAACAGCATGTTTACACTGGTGCGTGAGTGCGATCGCCTCCAGATGCGAACGGATTCGACACGTGAAATATTACAATAATATTTCATATTGCGATGGCAGAAACGACCGAAACAAGTCTGACCTATGCAATAGTATACGATAAGCATTAATATTTTTTAATATTTTCAAACGGTGGTGCGGGATGTCGCGAAATGCAAGGGATGAGTCGGTGAAGGTTCTGTGTGGTGGTGCAGGATAATATTCCGAATGCATAATGTATGTTGTACCATTTGAGAGTTTGCGTATAATATATAGAGGCCTTTTCGTTGAACTAGATTTTCAGATATTCCTTATTCGATCGTATATATATATATTTTTTTTGTTTTTATTGGGCTTAAGCCCGGCAACTATGACCATCAGCTGTTTTTTTTGTTTCTAGGGGGAGGAGCGGTTGGTACAGTTTGTTTGAAACACGTTTGTACGAGTTGAAAGGATTTGTAGCTAAAAATCCCGGGTGGTCACCCATCCGGGAGCTAGCAACACCGGCCGATACGTACACTCAGAGCATTTCCGAACTTGAGTGTACGGACCGCGCCACAATAATATTTTATAGTGCTCTATATTGGAATATTAGAACGTATGGCGATCAAGAGAAATTGCGAAACACTTGTCCTTTTTGTGTTTTATAGTCCATTTATCGAGGAAGACTAAACATCACTCTACGACCAATAGGATTCCGGGGTGGTGCTCAAATAGGGATTTTGAGATTTACGATGAAAATATTTCTTTACAAATGGTTGCTATTGGTTAGGTATAGGAGAAATAATTAGTAGAAATAGTATTTATTTATTATTTTATTTTGGTGAATAATTAAATTTTTTATAAATTTTTTCTATTAATTATTTTAACCTACCCTCAGGGGGGGGCAATATGTATTTAGTGCTACGGGCTGACTTTAATTAGTTGGCCCAAACTGGTCCTCCAGGTTGGGGGTTTGAGCGACGGGCTAACTGGCTAACAACCCTTCCTCTTTAAAAACATACTCTTGTTAAGAAACTTCAACTAAAGCC